CACCCCGCCACGCTCCGCCGCACCACGCCCCACCGCGGATACTTCGACCTTGGCGTCCTGGTGGCGGCGGCGGCGGCAGCGTCGACGTCGTCCAAGTGCTTGCGCGGCCGGGCCCCCCAGGGGGTGGTGGTGGAGGGGGCCGCCCCCCCGGGGGGCACCCCGAGCCGAGCCGCCGCGGGGCCGACTCACCTCACCGCCTCGTATGGACACAAGTGGGATTGGATTCCACACGAAAGTGGGCGGCGGCCCGGGGCTGGAGGCCAGCAGGACGAGCACACGCACACAAGGATGAACCCGCCCCTCCCCGCCACACAACACAAGAAGGCGCCCCCCGACGAAACAGCGAGAAAATGATAATGCAAAAATAATAGGACACCGCCCCGCCACCGACCGAAGAAAACAACAAAACAGAACAAAACACTCGGCATAGTCGAGGAGCCTCGCCTCGCTGTCAGCACGGCGCTCAGCACGCTCAGCACGCCCAGCCTTCGGCGACGATTACCTCATTATGGACTGCCGGGTCGACCAGCGCGGCGCGGCCCCCAATCTTTGTACATCGATCGATCGATCTCATGGATCCCATCTCATCTCATCTCGGATGCGCAGTTTCTCGTGTGGGGGGCGTGGTCCAGACTACACACACACACACCTTCCCATAACCGGCGCAGACAGAAACACTTTCCAGTCACTCGGCCCGGGCCACGCTAAGGCGCGAGCACGCGCGCGCGCGTGTGTGTACATACACGAACACACACATACAGGCGCGCTGAGCCGAGCGGAGCCGCGTCGCGATCCAGATGAGTCACCACCTCCGTCTGTGTCCACCGTAACGTCCTGGGTACGCCCCGGCGGCCCCGCCGCCGCGCCACACTCGCCCCGCCCCACCCGCGGCCGGCCGGCCCGGCCAGCCGCGCAGCTGATGCAGCGGCCACACCTCGGGCGTCGAAAATAAGCAAACACGCCCCGCGCTCCACACGAACATGCCGACGAACACCGCCGCGCCGCGCCGCACCCCACCCCGCCGCGCCCCGCCACTCCTCGACCCAAACCCACTTATTGGACCCGCCGCGCACACATCATACATGCGCAGGAGGAAGAGCTTGCGAGCAAAACGACGGAGACGTAAAAGCGATGCGCTCATACAAGTAGTGGTGGTGTGTACCCGCTGCTGTTCGCGCGCACTATCTCTCACTCACTCGCACGCACGGTGTGTGGCGGCCGACCTCGTTCGTGCGGCGGTAGTGGTAGCAGTTAGTAGTGTCAACAACGAACACCAGCGCACCACCCCGCCCCGCCACGCACCTGCTCGGCCCGCAGAAATAAACGGAGTGGGGCAGCAGAGGGCGAGGGGTGTGGCGGGGTGTGGCGGGGTGTGGCGGGCTGGGTGTGGCGGGGCGGTTAACTTGCATCGCACTACGTGCGAGTGTGTGCGTCGCTGTATTTAGGCCCCAAGCAGGTGCGACCTCCGCCAATGAGGGGCTGTTTCAAGTCTGGGACCTGCAAAAAAAAAGTAGGCAAAACAGACCGACGACGGAGCACACCTGCGTGCAGCGACATTTCGACTAGGCAATCCTGCTGCACGCGTGCGCAAATATTGCCTAGGATGGGACTCTGTACTTTTGGACTTTCGGATAACCTTGATGTACTGTACCATGTGGCTGAAGCCGAGCGACACTTTAAATGGGAAAGGACAATTTCGCATCCGTGAGCGAAGATGTTGCTTGCGAACATCTCAATGGGATGCAAATTTGTATCTGAAAAATTGCAAATTGTAAACTTAGCCTAAGGGATCATCCAGATGGTACGTCCGTCATTCGTCGTCAGGAAACCCGCAAGTCAAGTCCCTGCAAGCTGTCAAAGCGCCTGGTAGGTAGGCAATTTCTTGTCTGCAGCGCATACCTGTATTGCGGGGTGGCCTACCTCGAGCCTCGCAGGCGCCGAGCTTCCCTAATTTGCCGAATGATTATGAGAAAACCCAATAACACATCCTTGCTGGATAGAAAATCGTCCTTTTCCTTTCCCATTTTAAGTGGAGGGCAAGTGTTGTTGGTAAGTGTAAGTCCGACCGCCCCAGAAGTGTGTAACTGCGCCCCCGGCCCGCGGTCGTGGTGCCCGCGCCGCGGTGACGTCGCGACCACTGGAATGGACATGCAGGCCCCACTTACACAAACAAAGCCATCATCACGGTGGGCCGCACAGGACACGCCACACGCGAGCTGCACGAGCCGCCCTCCTCCTCCTCCGCGGCGGCGTGCAATTCACCTTCACACAGCAGGTCAAACAGGTGAGTCAAGTAGTATACGGAAAAGAGAATTGTGGTTTAAACAGCCAGTGAAATGTGTAAGTTTTTCGCGCACTTATAAACTTATGGTTGCTGCGTGGTAATTTGTTTTTAAATTTAATTTTCCCGTTTTATTACTCCAGTGATGATCAAAAAGTTTCGTGTCTGTCTGTCTGTCTGTCCGTCTGTCTGTCTGTGTGTTTGTCTGTAATCACGATAACTCGAGAACGGTTTGAGCTAGGTACCTGAAATTTTTAGTGTAGCTTTGTATCATAAAAAGCAAGAACTGT